GAATGACAATTTGGTGTCAAATTAAAAACTTTTATTTAAATTTCAACTTAGCCAAGAAGTTTAAAATTACACATAAAGTGTGTTTAGTTTCTTTTTGTTTTATCTACTCTGTGTTATTGAACATTAATTGATAACATCTTTTGTTTTCACTTATTATGCATCTAAAGTAACTTTTTTTTTCACAACGGAGTAAATAAGAGAAGAAATTTTTTTTTAAAAATACTTTCCACTTTTCGCGGAAGCGTTTGAAGAGATTGAAAAGTTTCGTAAAAAAAACCAAAAAAACTCGAATAAACGTATAGTCTTACAACACTGTATAGATTTTAATAATAATTCTTCGGTCTTTTCTCTCTCTGTGATTTCTCGAGCAGCAGATTTACGCGTATAATTGAATTTTAGTGTCTCTTTCCTTCTTTTTCACCTTCCCCCTCCCTCTTTCCTATGCGAGAGAACTATTCTTGCAGGAATAGCCACGGATATTCCGTCGCTAAACGATAATTGAATCGGATTTCCGAATCCCGCGATTAAGTCGCTTCCTTCCTCTTCGTCGATTTAGCGCCGCGCTCTCTCTTCTTTCCCTCCACCTCGTCCGTATATATCTCTCCTAAGAGCGGGAATATTTTACCCCGAAAAGGCATTCCCGGCGTGCATATTATGCGGACGACGATGACGCCGAATAGCGCGAATGGATGGAACTGATGAACGACTCGTAATGAATTCTATCGCGCCAATGCGATCCGTTCGCGCCCATTTGTTCGCGCAAGACGAATGATTATAAATTTTAACACGGAGCTTATATGTACCGCAATTGAAGCAACCCGCAGCCGCGGTTTACCGCACATCCCCTCTTCGCCGTCACACTGCAGAAACCGATGAATTGGCTTCCGGACTATATACGAATGACGTCGAGGGGCGCCGCCACCGCCGCCTCCGCCGCGGATACATCGCATTCCAATTTGCATGAAGCAATATTATTTTATCCTCGAATCCGGCGAGAGAGAGAGAGAGAGAGAGGACCGGCTTGTGAAGTGCGCGCGCGTCAATATTGGAGCGAAGAGGGAAGGAGGAAGAGGAGGGTGGGATAAAGTTGCACGTAACAATCTCGCTGTTATCGCGGCGGGCGAAAATCAAATCTCCTCGATACATATTAGAACATCACGCGGTGTGTTATCACGCTCTCTCTCTCTCTCTCTCTCTCTCTCTCCGCTTTCAGCTCGCGCAATTGCATTTATATCGCTCGTTGACCGACGTTATTATTTTTTACACGATGTTAATCGGCGCGACGATCGCGAGAGGAAAAGACCATCGAACGAGAGAAACAAAAAAATTCTACGGCAAATTTGTAGATTTTTTTTTTTTTTTTGAATCACTATTATGGATTGATGTTAATTTTTGATTTACGAGAACCACGTCTAGTTCACTTGGACGTCGTGGATGTAAAATAAATTATCTCGACGCGGCGCGCGATAACACACCGGAGTATTTCCTAGTTCGAGAATTTCCGCGATCCCCCTCCCACTTTTTTTCTCGTTTATATACGCGTGTCGGATATATATGTCTTATTTGCTGCGCGTTGCCATTTCTCATGTCAAAATCGCGGAGCCGGCCGCGTGTTCGCGCGAAAGAGACACGCGTATGTATAAAAGACCGCGCGTCGGATCTGAAGTTCAAATGTGTCTGCACAGAATGAACGGACACTCCGCAGCGCTCCGTAACAATGTTATGCACTCTGAAATTATGGTAATGCGACGTTTTCCGGGAGCGAAAATCTCTCCCGCGCGAGCGCATCACGAGAACTTGATGAATTAACGTAACGGTTTTCTCTTTTGACACACGGTACATTGTGCAACAATCGCGCGAGTGAAATCATCAGCCGTTAAAATTCCGAAAGTCGAGTGGTTCTTTTTTTTTCTTCTTCTTCTTCTTTCGTAAATTCGCGAGAGAAACGCGAAGAGAGTAGAGAAACGAAGACGAATATTCATTGCGCTCTCGACGCAATTGAATCGAGTCATTTGATAGCTTTTTTCACCTCTAATAGATTCCTGGGAAAAAAAAAAAAAAAAAAAAAACATTAATGGACCGCGATCTGGTCGTCCTCAATTAATGAATATCCAATAGCGCTAATGTAATTAACGGGATTTGATTACCGGCATTGAAAAACTCAACAAAATCGCTCCGGAGACCGTTTTCCGTTTTTCTTGAATTAGCTATGCGACTCTCGCTTTGAGCAGATGGCGCGACAAAAGAGATACAAAAAGATTAACGCGTTATTTCTTGTTTGAGAAATCTTGTCTTGTCTGTTTCAACAATTATCTCGTTTTCTTTTTCGCCTCCTGGCTCGCCCCGCGAGCCAGAATTGTCGCGAGTGACGGATGGAACATTTTTTTACGGGAGAATATTTCCTTCTCAAGAATATTTCAATCGCTATAACAATATTTCTCCGATACATGATCAGAGATACCTCTCTTCTCTCTTTGGTTTCTTATTATTACGCGTCGTTGCGAGCGATTTACCGTCGAATTTTTCATCTCTCGCCCGGCCATTGTCTTCGTATTCTCAACGTATCTGAAATATGTGTTTATCATGTGCGATTTGCATATAGAGTAGACGCGCGTGAGAGGAGAAATAAAGACGTGTGTCGTACTGGTGTCAACTGGGTCGAAGGTGATGAGTTTGGCCGCGTTTTACAGGTGAGCGAGAGTCCTCCCTCGTTCTTGGACGGGGAGAGTGCTCGCTACACCCCCCAGTCCCTTCGAGTGTCCTTCACACTTACGGACAAAGCGTTTTTATGATCCCGAATGCGAATACACCTTCCGCGATACACGAGACCCGGCTGTTTTCTACATACACTTAAGCGAGACCGGAACGCCAATAACAAAATGTAGGTTTAAACCGAATCGATATCTAACGGGAAAAGCGTTATTTGAATAATTGATCTTGTTTCGTCATTATTTTTTTTTTTTTTTGCATAATTCTTCGAGAGAGATGAAGAGAGGTGTTTGCGACGAAAGACAATCGATCGAGAATTATGGTAATCGGGATATCAAATGCAAACGTCGTCAAACCGAAGATCCGCGTGCTCGCTACGTAAACGGAAACGTTGAACTTGCTCGATACGGTTTTGGCGGTTATAATAGATTAAAGCTTTGAGCTTGAATTGCGGTCAACACAGTTCAAACTTGGAGAATTCAAATATCATTATTTGAACCCGCAAACCGGGCCACTCATAAAGTCGGTCTGTATGTACAATCCGTCGTGGGGTAATAATACGCGAGCGCGGTGGGAAGTTTTACTCGATCGCGCGTATTAAGATTAATATTTGGACTTTGGGCGGCCGTCTGTAACGAAGAGAACTCAAACTTTCAGCCGAGCCAATTCGGTTTACAAGACAAGCAAAGTCGAGCGTATATATACTGCGCGCTACGTTTAATACGACGATGTGTGTGCGCGCGCGGAAATGTGTTTATTTTATCAAAAAATTAGATTTATAATGAAATTTTTTAATCAAGTCAAGGTGATTTATTTCAAAGAAATATTGATCGCTCGCGTGCGTTTGAAGGTTCGCGGAAAATTGGGGAAAACATTTTAGTTTTTATTTTCAAAACACTCGCTGAAGAAGTGGCTCCGTTAGTTTTTCGCAAAATGAAATTTCGAATATGAAATATTCACGCGCGAAAAAGTCGATGTTTATTAGCAGTCGAGTTTCGAGTCGAGTATATTTTTCGCAACTTCGCGTTGAAAGTCGCAGATTTAAGTCGCGCGGTCGTCGTCGTCGGCGCGAGTTTCGCGAGTCTCCGTGATTCTTTCTTCCCGAGACATTTGTACGCGTCACATGCATCGCACGCGCCGCCGACACACACACACACACTTCTAACTAAGGTCGATAAAAAGCTGTCATTATGAAAAATCGCGCGCTTTCTTAACGCGATATGTAAGTGAGATAAATCGTTCGCGAGGTGTTTCTTGCGCGCCGCGCGTGCGCGCTTCCATCAAAACGAACGACTTCGCACATACATGGCACACGTATATGAATCTGTAAGTTGAAATAACGAAATACATAATATACGTAACGAAAACATGATGTTTGTTAAGTGCATTTATTATGTACGCAGTGAAGTAAAATATTGTTTATTTGTGCATCACGTGTGTGTGTGTGTGTGTGTCGCGGCTCGTCATTAAAATCAAAATTCAAATTTGAATTTTAATGGAAGTCGATAATTTAAATGTAGATTAAAGTGCATATTTTACGATCTTCAGCAGAAACGCGCGCGCGCGCGCGCGCTGCCTTGATGCGCGCGATACGCGCTTATCAAGTTTTTTGTGCGCACGTGAATGAAAAATTTATCGCAAACATGTAAAACACCGGGAATTACAAGTGCGCGTCCAATTGTGCGCCGATAATTCAAAGAATGATGATTGGATTAAAAAAAGAAAAAAAAACAAAAAAACAAACGCGTATATATCCGCATCATTTTCATAAACAAACACATTCTCTCACGTGCGTGTTTACGCACGAGATACGTTTCTCTGCGATAAAGCAATCTATTTTATCATCGATAACGAGATCAATATTCACATTCCCGTCACGTGCATATTGCAGAAGGGACACAATCAGCAATCAATATTTCGCTGTTTGCCTTTTTGCGCAATCGAGGGGATTATTTTATTTATGACACACACACCACTGTGTGTGTGTGTGCGAGTGTAAACTAAAATAACTAACGAAGTCGAGAGCTTTACACAAAAAGCTCCCGCATCGCGAACGAAACACGTCCGAGGAAATTTATGTGCATCTCTTTCCCTCCCCTCTCTCTTTTTTCCTTTCCGATTACCGTATCTACTATTCATACTAACTAAAAACAAAACAATACGTAGACCTGGACTACCGGTTAAATTAGGAGAAACTTCCGTGTGCGTGCGTGTGTGTGTGTGTGTGTGTGTCCGGAAAGACAGTCGAGAGAGAATCTAATTTGCAATTTTGCCCCCGCGATCTGTTCCAGGCGCTCCTGCAAGCGCATGATGTCGCCAGCCATGAGGTCTACGGTGAGGAAGCCACCAGAGTTACGCCGCCGCCGATGCTCACGTATCTGAACGGCGGCGACGACCTCGAAGGGCAGAACGGCGATTTAGACGAGAAGATCACTCGCGTCAGGCTGGTGCAGTTCCAAAAGAACACGGACGAGCCGATGGTGAGTGGCACTTGAAAGCACTTTGCGGCGGCGAGGCGGCAGAGAGGGGAGGAGAAAACGTGCCGTTTCGCCGACCTCGCCGAGACCTCGTCGAGCGTACACTGCATTTAATCCATTTTCGCATTGTTCCGCCGCTTCGCAGGGAATCACGCTGAAAATGAACGAGGACGGACAGTGCTTCGTTGCGCGAATTATGCACGGCGGTATGATCCACAGACAAGCCACTCTTCACGTCGGCGATGAGATCAGAGAGATCAACGGTATACCGGTTCAGAATCAGTCCGTTAATGCCTTACAAAAGATTCTGGTGAGTGTTCACATACAAAACTACAATATGTAACATTTTTTTGTGATGAAATCACATTACCGCGAGATAAATCGAATCGAATGAAATTTATTTGTTTTATTTCTTTGATAAGAATTTATTGTTTCATTTCTTTGACAAGAAACGTAACCGAATATAACGTAAAACTAAATAGAAACTAAATAGAATAAAAACATAACTGGATTTTAGTAGATTTTATTTATTTTTGTTTTTTTTTTTTTATTATAAAACAAGAGAGAAAGAGAGAGAGAGAAAGCGGTACTCTCTCTCTGGAAATCTCGAATACGATTTTCGTATCGGAAAATAGATTCATGCGTATCGGAATCGCGAGGTTACGACGCGCTCTCGCTATGAATCATGCATCGCTTTTCTAAAGAACCGGTCTCTCCCTTCGACTGTTTCAGCGGGAGGCACGAGGATCGGTGACATTCAAGATCGTGCCGTCTTACAGGAGCGCGCCGCCCCCCTGCGAGGTACAAGTAAGACCCAACATCACCCAAACCCATTCCCAGAACACTGTCGCGTCCATCAGCAAGCCCGCGATCTGCGCGGCCTCCACGGGCGCGAGCTCGGGAGGTAGCGCGAACAAATCCGGGAAACCTCCTGTGAAAACCTCTGCGGCTACGACGAGCAAAGAGAAGACGCCCAAAGCGTCCAAGAACAAGTCCAAGAGCACCTCCTCGTCCACCGAGAGCACGCCGAGACGTCGTCTGAATCCGCTCTCGGCGTTGCGATCGCGAAAATCTTAAAAACCAAAAAAACAAAAAAAAAAAAAAAACAATGATCGATTTCGGTAAAACCACCCGTTAGATCGCGCGTTTATGATAGAGAAACACATCCTTTTTCTCTAGTCGTAATTGTGCAGGCTTTTTCTCGGGATAAACCTTTCACACGCCTTCCCATATTGCTGACCTTATATCGTGATCTTAGAAGTAGATGAGTAAACTTAAGTAGATAGGTATCTTGTAACTCTGGGAATTACGCGCGCTTTCACCCTAAATAATATATTCTTTATTAAAAAACCTACTTTTAATTATATCCAACGATTGGTTTTAATATACGAGAACGCGACTAAAAGAGCCTCTTAGAAGATTTTAAATAAAAATAAATAATATAAGCACACTAAGTAATTAATTATATTTTTATTTATGATAGAAGAGAGATATTTAAAAAATTTTTAAATATTATATTTGTTTTACTGAAAAAAAGAGATTCATATTATGGATTATTATTTATTTTGTAGAACGGATTATTTATTTCGTATTTATTACGTTCGTCTCTGTTGTTGCAATATTTGTTGCAAAATCAAATTCGATCTTCTAGTCAACACTACGCTATATTAATATAGATCGTAACCCAGGGACACGCTTCGAAGCGTAATCTATCAATCGCTTAAATAGTTTGCGTTAGTTTCTATCACGGTCTTCTGATCACGGTCCCAAGATAATTCGGGAGTAGTCCCCTAATTGAGAGCTTGAAGCGAGAAACATCAATTTGCCGGAACATTGAGAATATATACGGGCGTATATAGGATCATCGCGCGGAATCGCGAAAAATAACGACACGCGATATTCGCACTTGGTCGGTTAAATTCATAACATTACATTATTTCGCTTCGCAAGCCGAGGGAACGTATTATTGCGGTCTACTTCGAAGTCTACTTACATAAAGCGCGAGAAGTCTCTCTCTCTCTCTCTCTGCCTATTATCCGCTCTTAGCGATTAGGAAAGTTTCTCCGGGCCCGATAACGAACATAGGGATATGCGATTAGTTTCCCCCGATCGATAGTTTCGTAGTTTGTCTACAGTTCCCTGCGTAATTCTATCTAAGGTAGTCCGCCAAGAGCTTTATACACAAGAGGTTTACGGGAAGAGATGGTTAATAGTGTCCACTTTGCGTTGCGCGTGTGAAAATAATTCGATATAACATATATATATATATATAATTACGTCTCGCGCGCGCTTCGCACCGAACAGCAACGAAGAAGGAAAGTTTGATCTTTTCACACACAAAGACGACTCTCGGAATTATGTTAAAATCCCTTTATCAATTGTGCACACGTGAATTTTCTAACCGCCAAAAACTCGCGGTAGTTCGCGCGAGAAACTTTTAGAAATAACATCGTAATATATTTCTCCAACAGATGTTCTCTGGACTACTTGTTACAAGATACACAGAGCGTTTATAGAACGAGCCTAAAATAGATTTAAAAAAAAAAAATAGTAGCAGCATACTCTTTGCTCTGAAATTAAAAATTAGAAATTTTTGATTAACAATTTTTTGATTAACGGAAAGTTTCATAATTACAGGTAGATAATAGTCGATGCAAAAAAAATAGGTCACTTTTTTTTATTCTACTTTCTCACGGAATAGAGAAATGTGTGTGTTTAATAATGTTTTATTTTTGTTCAATCTTTTGAAACGAAATTATATCGAACGAAGGATGTTCGCGTTTGAGATTTCTCGCGTACGGCGCAACTTCGAGATAGTTCGAATCTACTAATCTTCGTTAACATTGATGACGGAGAGAACGGGAACTGGTATCCGGGCGGGTTTACGTGCGCCAGCTTACGCGCAATATTCCCGAATAGTTGGACACGTTCGACGACGAATTTTGCTATGGCTCTACGTCCGGCCGTATTTGAAGTTTCGGTAATTAGCGCTCGAGCTTCCTCCTCATCCGCAGGAGCGCAAGTTCTTGGTGGAAACGTTGAAATTCTCGGACGCGCGAAGCGACAAGAACTTTCTCTTCCGACTTCCGTGTTTGCGTTTTGAACTAATTACACGAGAGCGGGAGCGAAAATAAACACGGAACTTTTACGTAATATCTTTTGTTCATTTTTGTTTTTCCGTCGACGTCTACTAACGCACGCCGATCGGTAGATTTTTATTTGTTTTCACGGTGTATATTAAATTGAAACGGAAGTGGCGCGAGTGTTTTTTTTTTTCAATTTTCAGTTTTCTAACACGATCAAATGGAATCGCGCGCGGATAACGTTTTATAAACCGGATACGCGCGCTCACTCGTTTACGACGAAATTTTCAACAGCACTTTTTCAAAAAGTTGTTTGTCCGCGTGACAGTTTTTGAAAATATTTAAACCCACATGGATGATTCAATGTTTGACACCGTGCGCTACACAAATCTTTCTCAACAAAAATCTTGTTTGCTCAGTTTTTGTTTCGCGCGCCGGACAATTGATTTTTTGGAATCTTCTTTCGCGTTTTGCAAAACTTTTCTCGCTGAAATTCGATTATTTCTCACAAAACGAAATGACGACGAAGTTTTTTTTATTAATTTATTCATAAATCCGCGAATATTTGCGTAGATTTTTGTTTTTTTTTTCTTCGGGAATCTCCGGAATCGATAGAGACACGTTTATGCGAACGCTATATACTTCGCTTTGTATATTCGCAATCACGTTTCCATCGCGGATGCTCCGCCTCATATTCGCAATCACGTTTCGCCGTTTAATGCAAGATACGTACTCGGGGAGCGCGGGTAATCGGTAAAAGGGAGTGAAAGCAGAATCCGAATCGTGCTCAAAGCGGCAAGCAGTTTTGAAGTTAAATCAGCGTAACTCCGATCATGTTAATCCGAAACCCCGTGTTGCGCGCGGCATAGTTTTATTTCCGTTAAGCGAGCAAAACGAAAGGTCGCGCGGCTCGATTTCGAAATTCGATCAGAAATTGCAACATTGTTGCGCGCATTACAGAGAGGTGCGGATCCCCTACACAGAGGTTTTCACCGGTTGTAACACGTATACACGAGCACGTACAATACATACACATACACACACACACACACGGACACACGGACACATAATACACATTATATATATTACTATTATTAAATTTATTAATCCTTTATTGCTACGATGAAAGGAGAATTCAGATATAACGTTGCTTAGCGTACCGAGAAACATCCGACCTTTGTGTTTGCGCTCGCAGCGCGTCTTTGTAAACCCGGACATATTACTGCACTGTTTTCGCGCGTCGGTTCTTTTCTCGGTGCGCGCAACGAGAACTCTTTTTTTTTCAGCATAACAACGTTCAAATCTCGAATAAAAGATCAAATCGAGGAATTTTTTTTCCTGGATTGAGATTCTTTNAATCTTCAGAATATTTTCTCTCCGAGTGTCAGTATAAAATAAAATAAAAAAAAAACCAAAAAAAAAAAACAAAACCAAAAAACACGCACTATACGATAACGACGGCTTCAAGTGAGACGCTTTTCTCTTTCTTCGTACCTGAGAATGAACATTTAATTTTCGACGATATATATTCTGTACCTGACCGAAATACTTGTGAATCTCAATCTAAAAAGCGTTTGCGACGTCGAGCAAATTTATAATCGTTGTAGAAGCTTCTCTCTGATTATTGTACATATACGATTTTAGTTTCGACAGAAGGATTGAAGTAATATATTGTTATATTAATTTTAATACATATATATACATATATATATATATATATATATATTAAATGTGCGATTCAGTTCTGATTATATAATTTCGATATGTCTTGATGTGACGTAGCATTCGTGTGTAAATACTCTGTACTTACATCTGCTTATGTTCGCACATCTCTCTAAGTATGGTTTCCTTCCTTTTTTGTTTTTTTTTTCGTTCTTTTTTTTTTTTTTTTTCTATTTTAGATCGCAATTCTCTGCGTCGTGCCCCGACAAGCACGTTTTTTTGTGTACATAATTTGTTAATTTTTCTCGCGGAACTTGTTCCGAAAGATGTCGCGGAAGATGATCGCGCAATATAATAAGTATATATGCAGTTATATATATATATAAAAAAAAAACATGTACAGTACTCGGTCCGAATATAGATGTATACAAGACACATTACCCTTCTTCGCGTCTTGTTCACATGTATAAGGGGATGTTTTGCCATCTTAAGTCGCTTATATATATCTCGCATTGTTGATGTAGATATAATACGAATCTCCTGTACGTTTGTTGCAACAACAGGCAACAGGACATTGATTATATACATAGTCGCATGGTATATATATATATATATTATATACTATATAATGTTCTCTTTTTTCTTTAGGATTTATATAAATCACACTTGCAGCACGCGAGTGTCACGTAAATGGCTGCGAAATTGACATTATATCGTTGCGGTATATCGAGAAAGAAAAAAAATTTAATATCGCGAGAAAACGTGAATTCAAAAAAAAAAAAAATGTTCGCCAAAAATTTGTTACCGCGACAATGCGGTTTTTTTTTAACAAAGAAAATTTTTGGAAAATTGCACTCTGTGTGTCTGGCAACGTCAATTTCGTAGCGCGCAGCGCATATATATATATATACATATATACATACAGTTGGATGTCCCCGCGCTGACCCGTGCTCAAAGTTCACGTTAATGTCACGGGTATAAGTCTGGTAACGAGATAGCGCGCGCGCGCGCGACTCTCCGTGACCTGTTCTGATAATATTAACATAAGAAAATGAC